GAAGAAAATTTAAAAGAAATTAATGAATTAAAATATCACAAAAATATCTCTCATATTTGAATATCAATTTTAAGTTTTATTGTGATTATAATAATAATTTTAATATCTTGTAAAATTAAAAAAAAGAAAAACAATATCATCCCAACCAGACACCACACAACAAAATATTGTAAATTTGACAAAATAAAAGATTAAAGAAAAACAAGTAAACATTACAAAAAATAAGATAACAAGTAGAGATAAAGAACATAATGCAAATGCATACAAACATGTATTGGTCTGTCAGTCATGTTTGACTGTAATGATAACCCAGACATTATCGGGTAAACCACACAATCATGTTTGTTTGCATTCAATAGAAAATAAGATTACATTTAACAAATATTGTATTTCATAAGAAAATAGAAAAACAAAGAAATAGATTAAGAAAATTGTAATCACTTTAGTAGTTATATAAGCAAAACATAATTTGAAAAAAAAAACAGAATAAAATATAATGTCACAGAAGTAACATCGTCGGCATTTTTATTTTTCCTCCGCTCGAACCAAAACTCGTGCGTGATCATAATTATTTTTAGAATAGATATACTAATGTTTTATTACTTTGAAGTTTAATTTATGTGGTAAGTTGTGGATTGCAACAGTGTTTTGTTGAACATTGCCTTGAGGCACTCTTGTGCATTAAAGCCTACATGTGTGTGCCACTTTTTTTCCTCACTTGGTAAAATGTTTTGATTTGATTTCAGAATTCGGTACTGCAACGTTTTAAATTATCTAATTTAAGCGACGAAGAATAAGAGAAACTGTTTGACAAGATCGAATTGTGTGAAAAGTCGAGATATGAATTCAGTAAAAATGAAAAATCCAATCACAATTCAGGGTAGATGTTGATGACATTCACCATTATAACGGGGGCTTGATATACATGTCTATATATCGGTATCCAATTTTGAGGAGCTACTGAGGTAAACATGCATTTGCACCAATTAGGAATTGTATAACCCGAACAAAATAAAAAACCATAAAGCAATATTTATCATTACGTGATAAACGAGCGAAAAATGGTCAACCAGGCAACTTTGTTTCGTATTAGAAACTTTGGTGACGAATTGAACAAACAATTTGCTGTTGTACCAAAACAAGCTTGCCTTTACGTCGATGAACAAATGTGAAGGACAAAATTTAAGCATCTCTTTCGGCAATACATGCCAAATAAGCCTCACAAATAAGGTATTTAACTATTTGTATGACTATTTGTCATTTTGTCTGGCAACCCAGAGCTAATGTTGTTCTCCGTATGTTCGACACGGTAAACAATTTTGTTCCCCACATTATTTATTATACCCTAAACCGGGTATATTAAGTTTGCCTCGAAGTTTGTAACACCCAGAAGGAAACGTCGGGGACCCTATAAAATAAATGATCAGCATGATGAGCTGATGATGATTTAGCCATGTCCGTCTGTCTGTATTTATACAACCTAGTCCCTCACTTTTTAAGTAATCGATCTGAATATTTGCACCTGTCTTTTTCGCACTAAGAAGCTACGGAACAATCAAAATCAAGTACTTGTATGGGATACCATTTTATTTGATGCAATATCTTCACGAAACTTCGCATGAGTTAATTTTTAATCCAACAATGTAATCTCCGAAGAAATTGTTTAGATCGGATCACTATAGCATATAGCTGCCATACAAACTGAACGATCGGAATTAAGTGCTTGCATGGAAAACTCTTTCATTTGACGAAGTATCTTCCCGAAATGACATGGATGATTATTTAAGGCAATAATCTAATCTCCGATAAAATTGTATAGATTGAATGACTATAGCATATAGCTGCCATATTAACTGAATGATCGGAATAAAGTGCTTGCATGGAAAACTTTGTTACTTGACGAGGTATCTTGACGAAATTAGGCACAGATCACTCTATCATATAGCTGTTTTTGGAACAGAATATATGGGATCCGCATATGGGGTACAAATAAGGAACGTCTTAAAGAAAAACAACAAGGCCGTTCGATTGTCATCCACATATGTAGCAGCCAAGCCATTTATAAACGAAATTTTAAATGATAAGATCGCAAAGATACCACGTTACGATAGGAAATCAAAACAGTATCTTCAAGTTGGTTGCCCCAAAATTATACGATATATAACTGTCATATGGGTGACGTCGATTTAATGTACAGGCTCATGTACCGTTACCATATAAGAGCAAAAACCAGGGATAAATACGGTTATTTTACCATTTGATTGATATGCCAGCAACAAACGCATATTTATGGTACAGAAGTATTCAACGGTATAAAATGAATGACTCTAACGCACTTTTAGAAACGAATGACGGGAAGACATCGCTGCAGGCCTGGTAGCCTATAAAGCAAAGCAGTCATTTGGCCGGCTAAGTGAAACACTCACAGCAAGATTCCAATAATACGTCATAAATTGGCTGCAAAACTGTTCACATTGTTGCAGATATCCGACATGATAACATCGGTCAATATCCTGTCTTGCAAGATAGGAATGGTGGCAAAAAATGGTGCATGCACTGCAAAAAATCACAAACGCAATGTTTTTGTTTTTGATTTAAAAAAAAATTCATTTATGCTGTTCGAACCATAAATTTGTTCTTTTAATTATCATTATGAAAATAAATAAAATGTTTTTAATTTTCGTATGAATTTGTAATTAATCTGAATTCTTTTTAATAAAGCTCAGTAATATGAAGTGCCTAAAAATTTACTATGTTTTTACCGCGAAAGCCCCAAGGCACTGATTTTTATACTCAAACTTACCAAAAAAAAAAAATTATTTTTAGAATCCGCTTGCTCATTATTTTAGAAACCAGCATTAGAGGGTTAATAGTATTATTACATTGCGGATTGAATGGTATTTCAAATGATTCTTTAGATAACCTATTTGAGCAATTAATTGCATAGGAAACATATTTATATAGTTAAGCTTGGTTAACTTAATAAGATTCTGATCAATTGGTTGTAAGGCTGCTGTCGCATTTGGTGATAATAATAATACAACTATATATTTTCACCGTCACTTTGAAGTTTCTGAATTGGTACATGAACGTACCAGTTATCAATAAACAAAATATCCTTGGGGGGAAAATATTTTTTCTTGAGAAAAGCAAAGCAACTGTAGATTGAAACTATTTTTTTAATACCGAATTTGCCTCATTAATAAATATCTAATGTAAATTTCTGTTAATAGAATTTCTTTAGGTGATCCACTTGAATTTGATATAGATACATGTATTCCTTAGTTTTAATCTTTAGGCTTTATTATTTTTCTGTAAGTAATTGTTTCGAGAATATACATCCAACTATGATATTTGGATGAATGTTTAAGTTAGGAAGAAAAACTCTTTTGAATAGTAATTATAACCCAAAACCGCAGATGCTACTACTTTTGTCAAATAAGAATCAATTATTCACTGAACTATCATCATTAGTTCCGTATATAATTTTTACCATAAAATATTACTTACATATCGATTCAATTTCTCTGAGCTTATGTAGTAATCATTACCTCCACTGTCAAAAATTTTTGGACGTTGACGGTGTTTAGAAAATCTCAGTTTGTTAGCATTTTTATAGCCCTTACGTGAACCTAGACTGACCGATGATTTTAGCGTTGAATGTTGATTGTGAATTAAATGTTTTATTGCATCTACACTTTTATCTGAACCACCGTAAGGACCTCCCCAGTACATTTTTGGCTGAGCTAAAATAAAATCTGTAGATTCAGATTTACCGCTATTGCTTTTCCATATATCAACCTGTCGTTTGGCTTCAACAATATCTTTTAATTTTTGGTCGTTACGCTCATTAGATTTGTTTTCATGAATTATTAAAGCTTTTGGGAAAATAGCTTCCGTTTTAAAATTTTCTCGAATTCGTTTGTTTTCCAAAGTGGTTTTATTTAATTGTTCCACAAGTTGACTTTTTACGCCTACACTTGAGAACGGCAACATATTATTTCCGTTACCTTTACTTGGACTGAAACTACAACTGCTTTTCGCGTGAAAATTGCTTAAGGATTCATCATGCGCGGATACTGTTGCTAAACTATACATATTTTTTGGTTCAGCTTCTTCTCCTTCCAAAATTGAAGACATACTTCTTGGGCCTGCAATTTATTTTAGGAATATTTTAAAGAACCGTACATCCATTTACTTTGATATTTTTGGTGTTAATTGTAATTGATATATGCCAACCATTTAGTTTCACAACCATATCTTGCTTCATATACAAACTATTTGCTTAACAAATAAAAAAGGGCTAAGATCGTGTTTAAGCGAACATTTTATACTATCGCAATGATCAAAGCCGGGGAAATATCTTCAGTATGTAGGCAAAACTTTATATTAAGGAAAGTTGTGATAGAACATTCATTCGTGAATGGATTACAAGCATGTTCGGTATCTTATTAAATTGTATTATAGGTCGTAGGCTCATTTTTTGCTTCATATTCGGGAAATTGGTACTAAAATCAACCTAGTTAACTTAAATGAGATATGTATTTGTAACTCAACCGAAAAGTTTAAAGTTAATAGATTGACTATATGAGAAAACATCAACCAGTGAAAGGGAAATCAAAATATTAGGAAATTTGGTTTAGAGCACGGTCTAGATCGATTTAATTCATAGTATATTTTCAACCATATTATGTTTATGAAAACATTGATATATCACATATATTGACCAAAATAAACGGTTTAAAGTCAGTTAAAAAGTCGGACATTTGGTCTAGAGAAAGTATTTACCTGATTTTATCCATTTTTGGCATTACGACATATTATTTCTATAAAACGATAGTTTCTCACTTTCACAAAAATACCTCACAGATTGACCGATATTTTCGGTAAAAAATCAGCACTAGCTTTTTAGGTCCACATACCCATATTCGGTATCTGAAAACTTGAAAAGTTATAGTTTATTTTTGCTTATTTTTTGACGTGAGATGCAAAATTTTATTTTGATATCATTATTGGATTTCGATTTATGTAATGTAAAAATTTTAATAAAATCAAGCGAATAATTTTTCTTAAAAATAACGTAAAAATTTAGTTTAGCCCAGAATCTGACTAAAATTGCTCTAGATCTTGGTCTAACTCTCATATCCCTAATATGCTGATCTCCCATCCTCTGGTTGATGTTTCTGTTATACCCAATATATTAAACTAACTGTACTTTGCGCACGTTGCTACACGACAAACTAAAATAAATTTGAAGGAAATACATTACATAATTATTCAATTCGTTTTGTACCATTAAAAAAATGTCATTGATAATAAAAAAAATTAATTTTTTTTTAATTTTTCTGATCGCCCCCAAACTTTACACGATCACTCGCTGTGCCATCCTCAAGATCATCCAAAGGTTTTATTCGAATCGGTAGACCCGTTTCGGAGTTTATATAGAACATACATACAAAATTTCTCTTTTACATATGTACTTGTATGTAGGTATATAGGTTTTGCCCCATTGATTTAGGTTTAGATCACATATATGTATTTTATTTGCTTAATTTTAATATACGAGTGAGTAGTTCGGAAAAGCAAAATGTAGTATTAAAACTATGAGAGTCTGCGACCTATAATATACAAAAGTTAATAAGATACCAAATTTGAGTACAACCAATTCGCCTTCTTAAAATAATGCAATTTGAATTTTTATACTCTCACAACATGTTGCTACAGACTATTACAATTTTATTCGCCTAACGATTGTTTGTATAACCTCAAACTAATCGAGATAGATATAGGTTGTGTATATGTATTATATATAAATGATCAGATTGACAAGACGAACTGAAATCCAAGTGAAACTTTGTATAGGTATATGATATGAGTTTAACCGGACTATTGCCACGTCCATAAAATGTCATTGATCGAAATTTTATAAAGTGCCATAACGAAGCCGCAAATTAAGATAATACAATCGCGTTAAAGAGAAGCTACTGTGGTGTGACATTTTTTTAAAACTGGGCATTGACCCTCCACCTAATTGGTTTAATGTACAAATATTCCACACTACTTTACCTATATCAATCAAATTTGCTCACATGAAATCGGATAGTAACCATGCTCCCTATAGAACGATTTTGTTGAAAAGTCCTAAATGCACGATAAATCAATATCTAAACCCGTCAGAGTCATTAAGTTTTACACCCAGGATGTTACAAGATGGTACAATTTCAACCGAATTCGGTTCATAACATTCTCCTGACATTTCTATATTATAGTGTGAAAACTAACCAAATCGGATAAAAACTACGAATACTTCCCATGTAATAAAATTAATGTAATTTATATAGCTTAATACCCTTCACAAATACAAAAGAACTTAATTTTGATCGATAAGCTTGTATGCCAGCTATATGCTATAGTGTCTCTATTGCTTAAGACAATAACCCATCCCAAATTTCGTGAAGATATCTCATAAACTAAAAAAGTTTTCCATACAAGCACTTGGTTCCGATCGTTCGGCTATATGCGATATCGGCCGTTCCAAATGAGCAGCTTCTTGGGGAGAAAAGGACGTGTCCAAAATTTTAGATCGATATCTTAAAACTGAAGGACTTGTTCGCGTTTATACAGACATACGGACATGGCTAAATCGACTCAGCTCGTCATGCTGATCATGTATCTTCTTTCTAGGTATTACAAACTTTGTGTCAAACTTAATATACCCGAGTATAAAAATTGTCAAAACCGGTTCAAGCTCCCAGATACCGAATATGTGGACCCCTGTGGAAAAAGCTAACTATTACCGAAAATATCGCTCAACCTGTGAAATATAATACTAAAACGGAGAAAATATAATATTTTCTTGGTAATAGTATGCCTGTCTGTCTAAATGGGGTCGACGGAAAGTGGTGTTACACCTCATATACGTAATATAAAGATTTTCGAACTTCTAACTTCGAACTTTCGGCTGACATTATATCGATCAATATGTGAATTATCTTAACAAAATTTTCAGAGAATCTCATTTCAATAACAGTGTATCTTGACCTAGCTCTTATATAACCAATATAAGGGTTTTTAAATATTCGGTCAGGTGAGAAGTTTCATACCTGCTATATTGTTCAATATAAGGTATCTTAATGAAATATGTTGTAATGCCAATACTGGATAGAATAGGTGAATACTATATTTATTTCCCATATGTAGATCTAATAAAAGATTTTTAAACTTTCGGTTGCCTTTATACCGTATATATTGGTCTACATCTTAGATATCATAGCAAAAACAAGCGTAAACAAAGCGAAAAATTTAGTAAAATTGAGGATACAACTAACCTCCAAATTAAGCGCCTGTTATATGATTTCGGATAAACGGTAATTTGTGGGCGCGGCAATGGACCGCTTCCGTCCAACTACAATACCAACCAACATTGGGTGCCAAGGAACACACGCACAAAGTATCATCAATATATCTTAATTTTTACTCTAGTTTTCGCTTGCACAAACGGACGGGAGGACGGACCGACAGACTGTCACCCGGATCTCATATCGTCTCGTCATTCCGATCTTTTATATATATATAACACCATATTTAGCCAGAGAACTTAAAACAATGAGAAGGTGCAGGTTCGACAGCGAACAATTTGTAGGAATTTATCAAGGAGTTCACCACAGATGCACGAGAAACAAATAACATTTTTCGCTTTTATAACAGCGGTGAATCTGTACACATACGCTCTCTTAACATAACCAACCGACGAATATTGAAGAGAATATAATATGTGAGCAAAACTGGGCATATTGATATGCCATTTGAAATATATTCCCTTTTATTGAACTATTATTTATTATTTTTTAAATTATTTTATGTTAATTCATTTTTACTTTATTATGAGAAATATATCAAAATACTTTTAAATTATTACTAATAAAGTATTTTGATATATTTTTTACTTTTAAATTATTACTAATAAAGTATTTTGATATATTTCTTAAAATAATTAATTAATTGTACTTGACACCATTATGGAGTCATAAAAGTACAGAATTGTGTTTATATAAACATGTATTCAATACTAATTTCAGTTGATTTTCCTATAGAAATTTGACTGGCTTAGAAGCAAATGTGCAACAGGACATACATACATATATTATGTCGTTTACACATTTTTATGTATTTTTATGTAGATATGTACACTCATTACTTCATGTGAAATCTCCGTTGACACATTTTTTGCTTTTATGTCAAAGAGTCAATCTGTCGAAGAACTGACGCGACGACAAAGCGTCACAACATTGTGTTGTTGGTAGAAAATCCGAGATGTGCCATACACACTCTTGCAAACATACATCGCATATGGGCAAGTGCAAAGTCAATGTGTGTACAAAAAAATCGAACGTACTTACATAAATTCTTTGACAAATACAGTCAATCCCGGTTAAGTGCCAAAACCAAAGATGCAGATTTTTTGTGCTTTGTAGTACATAAGCGATTGTGGTACTTAAGCGAGTGGTACCAAAAAAAAATATTTCTATGTATTTAAAAAAAAATTACCGTTTTCTTTAAAAAATTAAGAAAAAAAAAGTGAGATGCAGCAAGACACCGGCAGATAAGAGGGATTGGAGGAGTGATACTTAACCGGGGTTTACTGTATACATAAATCAGAGGAATATTGAATATTTTCTTTAAAAAGTTTCTTGAATTGTAAATCGACAAATTTACTATGTTGTCACTTTTATTCTAAAATATTTTAATACTCATATTTCAGGGGTTGTCACTTTTCCCTTCTAGAGGGAATATCAGAAATTTGTTCAATTTATGATTTTTAGCTTTTGCCATCGTCGCGAAAAGACGCTTGTAGGCAAACGCATGCTCGGGGAGATGTGTAAGGCGTTTGCTTTTATGAATGAAACGACTTAGCTTATTGCTTGTGCGCCAGCGTTCATGAATGAAAATGTTGTTGGTGTGTGATTTACTACAAATTTAGGATTTGGCTACCATATTGATTTTTGGTGCTCATGCTATTTGAGACAGTTGTTGTTTTTGTACAACAATGTTTGTATTCTGCCTATTGGCTGACGTACTTACATTTGTACGCTTAAATGTATGTAGATTTGTGTATGCATTACTTATTTTGCGCGGTCGTACGCATATTTGT